TCTTTTTCAATTCCGTGGAAAGTGATAAGTAGTTGCAACATCCCCGACTTAACTAGGAAGAGATGAGCTTGGACCAGAAAGAGGATGCATGAAGGTGTGGTGCTTCGTATGGGTTGAAGGAAATCCATCATTGACCTTATCGAAGGCTCAATGTGGATGTTGTTCCCTTCATTCACGGGAGGGGAAAATTCTATTTGCGGATTGGGCATTCTAGGTTCTTGTCCTCCCCCACCGCATTGCATGTTTCGATTGACACCTACATTCTCAAAATTATCACTTGTATCCTCGAGTAGGTCTTGGTCAATGTTCATATTGGGGCTCAAGGGTTGTCTAACTAGTCAATTTTGTTCGTCCTGACCCCACATATAACAAAACTATCTACAAATAAAAATGTAAACAAACAAAAGTATATACAATGATCAACGTACCTCAGCTCATGATGAACATCACGGGACCTACCTATGTTGTCCAAAAATTAACTTCTTGATTCGACACTTGTCATCCCCGGCAATGGTGCCAAAAATGCTTGGTTGTTTCCATTATAGTATATCATAACCTCCGAACATCATCCCTCAATGCGTATAGTCAATGTGTGGAGGGGACTGTCACTCTCCCTTGGAATAATGTCAAAAGAAAGGGTAACAGGATGGTGAGTGAATGAAATGTATGAAATATGTGTGTGTGTGTGTGTGTGAACAAAAATGCTCCCCAAGCACAGAGAGACTTTTGCTTGTCATGTTTTACTTGAAATCGTGTTCCAAGGTCATCTTCTCAGGGAAGCAGGTGTATCATCATGAAGGTGATTTTTGTAAAAATAAAGTGTAAAATCTTTTATTGGTTGAAGGTTGGTTTGTGATTGTGATGAAAATAAAATAAAACAAATGTTGGCTAATCCAAAGGGTTCACTCCAATGGGAATACCAAGTCAACTCAAATCCTTCATCCAATAGAGCATAGATGTACGATTTATTCATGGAAAACTAGGGATGAGATGGAACTGCGGATCCAAGCATAACCCATAACAAGTCTACGGATATCAAAGACTCACAATCCCGTCCACCCTCTACCCAGTCAAACCGAATCATCGTACTCTGAGAGGAGGAAGGAAAATGAGTTGAAATGGCATACCCAAGAGGAGGTCTCCCTTGAATTAGCCAACTTAAAGGCTTAGCTACTCATGCTTAAGGTAAAGACAACAATGTAATGAGATAACATTATGAAAAAATAAAAATTGGAGCTAAGCTAATGCAAAGAAACATAAACTAAGAGAGAATACATTTAATACCCACTTTAAAACTAAGAATTTGAAAGAAAACGAAATGCACAAATATAACTTCCTGATAATTTATACATGTCCATCACCTCTTTCTAAAGAGTGAATGAGAAACTTCTCACTCTTCATGGCTTCGGTAAAGCTAGAAAAGTGAGTGATGCTCATCCCTTCAAGTAGAGGAATTATAAGGTAAAACGTATTACACAAGGAGCCGATCTTTGACAAAGAATGAGTGAATCACGTTTCATCCTTCACGGCTTTGGTAAGCTCTAGAAAAGTGAAAGAGTTTCACTCCTCTAAGGAAAGAAGGAAGCTCAAACAATAGAAGTAAAATAAAGCAATAATACAATAAAAGAAAGCAATAAATTAAAAGAAAGCAATAATACAATAAAAGAAAGCAATAATACTTTTGGAGGATTTTTCACTACCAAAAGATAGATGTTTTACAAGTCTTAAGGGGTGGTATTTATAGGTAACAAGGGAGGATGAAAGCCTTGTTTGGCGGTTTTGAATTACACTTTGATCCCTCTTTGTTTTGAGCTTTGATAATTTACACTCTATAGTTTGTAGTAATTTGTAGCTTTGACACAATTGGTTCCCCAATAGTTTGTAGCTGCGACATAATTGGTTCTCCAGTAGTTTGTAGCTTTGACGCACAAAATTCTGAAAAGAACAACAATTAATGCATTATCCCTAATTCACACACTAACCCTAATTTGACTTATTTTGACTAGTTTAACTTTGTTTAACTAACACAATTGACCTATTAACTTAATTAAATTATGCATTAATTAGAGTTAATCACATATATATTTGGATTGATTCCCATGCATCTTAATTGGTTAAGAGAAAAAAAGAGATTGGAGGATGTTAGTTGTGGTGGAATAGGAAGAAAGAGGCACTTACGGTTGCTACTGCTGGTGGTAGATGTCTATGTGTTAAAGTATGAGAAAGAAGTAGGAATCATAGGCAGAAAGATTTTACATAAGCAATGAATAAATTTGAAAATCAAATAATGTTGTTGCACAGTAGAATTCCAGCAGTAGAGTGAGATAACTGCACCCCGATGAAGTTTAGATGGATCTACTCCTACAATAGAGAAAGGGTTTAGAAAGGGACAAAGGTGTATCTGGCTTATCCCCTCCGATGTATTAGGTTGCTTGTGAAAGCATACCTTTATCCCAACTCGTTGGGACTATTTATACCTTCTAATAGGATGACATGGCAATATATGGGTCCCATCAAGCTGGCTAAGGAAGCTTTCATAGGTATAATTATTACTAGGCTTGGGGGATGTCAGTGCTTCCTCAAGGTCTAGACTTTCAATGATTAACCTACTCAGGGCGTCGAATAGTCAATACATGTCCCCTCAGTATTTAATGACTCATGTAGAACATGTATTGAGTTGTGCCAAGCACTCATTGTGATGAGGCTGGACAATTAGTTCGCATCCCCCTGAGAGATCTACGTCAGCAAGGGCCATGCCTTTATCTAGATTTTCTTTGATTCGAGATGCATTCTGATGTGACTTGTTTGTGAAAGCAATCATTCTTTGTGATCCACGGTGTCATGTTGGGCCCATCTCCATGCTCTGACAATAGATACTTGGCCCTGGGATGCACCTTTTTTCCCTTCGCCTGTGGGAGCATCTCTAAGTTCTATCCTTATGACCAGATGATCCCCTCAATTCTTTACTGTTTGTTGTCCACTTGTCATGCTCTAATATGAGAGTCATTTTGTGTCTCATCAACTCCCCCAGCCTTCACTTCCATGCGTGTGGGCCATATGGTGCGGTAGGACTGGAGGCTATCTAGCGCACGTCGCTTCTCACTGACCATTACACTCATATTTGCCACCAATTTTGGAAAATATTAATTAATGCGCCACTACTCCCGGTAACTAATGTTATGTGGGGAGTATAAATAAGAGGGGATCTCCTAGTCTTTGGCTTCGTTTGAATCATTGAAGGTCTGAAGTGCTCTCTTTTTTGCCCAAGCTGTTCTTACTTCTAAAGATATCCCAAGCGTTCCTTTTTAACAAATTCATTACGTTTCCCTCTCCTCTTATTCTTTCTTTCTTTCTCCAATCTCCTCCCACATTCTATAATAGCGAGAACCCTTAGAAGAAATGTACTGAGTGTTGAGGGTGGACCTAGTACCTCAGAGGGTAAGGCTAGGAAAACCTAGGTAGATAACCCTCAGTGGATTACAAATTTTAGAGCAAAATACCGCATCCCGAACTCTGTATAGGTGATAAAATTTGAGGCCGATTGACATAGTACTACTATAGGTTCTCCTTAGTTGATGTCCTTCCAAACCAAACTAGTCATGGAGAGGGGGATTAGGTTTCCCCTGCCTCCTCTTCTGCCTAGGTTCCTCATACACTTTTAGCTCTTTCCTTGGCAGCTTTGTGTGAACCTTTTCAGGATAGTCAAGGGGGTGGTTGCTTTGAATGCTCATCTCGGTGTTAACCTAAGGGTAGATGAAATTCTTTTATGCTATGGCATCATGTGAACCGACCCCTAAGAAAAAATATTATCGCATAGCTCGAGATCTTGCAATGTACCTCGTCACCCACTTGCTTGACTCCAACAAAGGGTATACACAAGATCTCATCGTGATCAACAACTAATGGGAGACGGGCAAAGGACCCAAGTACCTTGGACTATACTACCTCAAGGTGATGTAAGAGTCAGGTACATGAGTCCCCTTCACCTTCCTGAGTGTAGCCTTCATTCAGTATCAACGTAGTTACTAAATTCTTATTTTCATTGCAGATTAGGGTATAAAAGGTTGTTGTCGCCTAGCCGCTACATCTTCCATCTGTTTTCAAGTCATGGTCACTATCTTGTGGCACTAAAACTTCAAAAACATTGCTCGGGTAGCACACGTGTTACTAAATTACACCTCCAACTATAGGAATTTTTCTCACCTTGGACGGATGACTCTTCTAGTGAAACAAACTTAGAAAACGATAGTAATTGAGACAACGAAGACTCTTAAGTCAATCACACCTCCACTTCCAGTTTCGTAGATAGTTCCTCCCACTTTGACATGTCTCATATGCTGCGAATTTCCATGGACAGCCTCGAAGACTTGGTTACTTCCTTCAAACTAGTCGATTAGGACTTGATGGCTCCTCTCAAGTGACTACATAAGTTGTCTATCAGTGCCACCATCAACCTCCTTCAGTCCAAACTGAGTAGGTAGCCCCCAGTCATTCCCGAGAAAGGGAGTAAGACGTGCGGTTACAGACTTAGCAGTTCGTCAAGAGACACCATGAAACTCCTCTGCACCCTAGGACCAAATCACTCCCTAAATTCAAAATTTGCAAGTTTCTCCTAGCACTATGACCCCACGCCCAATGCCACATCCAGCTTTAGGAGATGAGTGGGCCTTTTGATCTTTCAGTTGTGTGATGGAAAGGCCATCCTAAATTCAGACTCCATGGTGACCTCATCTGAGATTGATTTTGTCGTTAGTGCGACTCTTTGTTTTAATTCCAATATGGCCATCCACCAAGGTCGATCTAATAACGGCCTTCTTCATGGAGCAATCCAAAATGTTATAGTGGCAAGGCTTTCTTTTTTTATTGCACACAATTTTATTTGTTTTTCAATGTTTTTCTAAGCTCCCCTCCTACATCTAGGCTTTTCAAAAGATGGGAGTTGTCTTGGACCCTTTCTAGGGTTATCACTTTGCTTGCAATAGGTAGAAAATCTTAAGAAGATGGTGAAAGACCTAGAGAATTTCATTATGGATCAAGTCAAAAAGATCTCCACTCTAATCAGGAAAATGAATGATATCTCGGCCGATCTTGACAAAGCAAAAGTGGCCAAGGCTAAGAACAGGATGACCGACATGGAGTTGAAGTTTTCCTCTACTGAAGTCAAGTTATCTAAGGCCGAGAAGAACTGTGATGCCTTGTTGGGCCAGGTAGAAACAATGACCGAGTCCTTGGCTAATAATAAATACGATAGGGTGGGTCGGGTCCGTTAGGAGACCTATGACAAACTGCAGAAGGAAATGGTGAAGGTCTTTACTGACACAAGGCCAAGTACTTTAAGGATGGATAGGATGTCAAGGTTCAATGTGGTGGGAGCTTCTTTTGAGTCTAATTTTTTCTTTTAGCATGTGTTCATCCCTTCTACTATCTCTGATGAGGAAGATAAAGGTGAAGAGAATCATGTTAGGAACATCAAGGAAGACCCTCTTGCCATAAACTTGATTAGCGACGGGGATGAAAATGAGCTCCCATTCCCTTCCCCTAGGAGGCTTCCAACCCATGCAATGCAAGATCCTATTACCCCACTAATTCTACTACCCCCATTGCTGAACGAATGATTGGGACATGGTGACTTATGATGACTTGTTCGATATTAGGGATGAAGATGGTGGGAACTAGATGGTCGACTTAGGGCAAGGTTAAGAGCGAAAAGGCCAAGCTGGTAGTGGCCAAGTATAACTTTCATGACCTCAGTGGGGATTCTTTTTCCCTGTTATTGTAAGCTAGAGGGACACAAATCCCTCAGTTGTTTAAATGCCATTTCTTTTTTCCTTGTTCATTATAAATCATATATGTTGTTCAGGGACGATCCCTTCCTGAAGGAGGCGAATCCCTTAGATTATTTAGGCACAAAGCTCTGTACCTGTAGATATTCATCCCGTCGGGGGTGTGCCCCTAACGACTGAGTTTATTACTTGTGTTAACAGTATTTAGGGACTATTCCCTCCTAAAGGAGGTGAATCCCTTGGTCTATTTAGGTGCAAACTCTACAAAGACTTATTTTACCCGTGGTCGTGCCCCTAACGATCGAGTTTATTACTCGTGTTAACAGTATTTGGGGATGATTCCCTCCCAAAGGAGGCGAGTCCCTTAGTTTATTTGGGTGTAGAGCTCTACTTATGCAGAGACTTATCCAGTCGAGGGTCGTGCCCCCAACAACTAAGTCCATTACTTGTAGTAACAGTATTCGAGGATGATTCCTGCTTGAATGAGGTGTGTCCCTTGGTCTATTTAGGCGCAAAACTCAGCCTTTGCATAGATTTATCCTGCCCATGGTCATGCACCTAACAACTGAGTCTATGACTTGTGTTTTTAGGACACCTTTTCAATTCAACATGAAATAGATTGATTTAACGATACAAATTTTTCATGTTGGATATATTCCATGGATGGGGAATAAACCTCCCCTCCAAGTCCTCTAGTCTATATAATCCTAAGCTCCCCACCGAGACTACCTTGTAAGGGTCCTCCTAGTTTGGATCAAGCTTTCCATCAGTGGGCTCCTGAGTGCCCCCATTACGTTTTGAAGCACTAGGTCCCTCACTAAGAACTCACGAGCTTTGACCTTCTTCTGGTGTTGCTTAAATAAATCTCCTTGATATTTTTATAACCAAACAGTGGTTAAGTCCCTTATTTCCTCTCACAAGATCTAGGTAATTGGACATCATTTGGTCATTCATGCTAGAGTCAAAGGCTTGACTTCAAATGCTAGAGTGTCCGACTTCTAACGGTATCATTGCTTCCACCCTATAAACCAAAGCATCTGGGTTTCCCCAGTTTAGGATCGAGGAGTGGTTCAAGAAGCCCATAGCACATTAAATAATTCTTTGGTCCATCTCCCTTTGGCTCTCTCTAGTCTCCTTGAGGATTGTCCTATTGGACACCTCGGCTTGTCCATTGTATTACGGATAGGGAATGGTTGAGTAGCAATTTTTGATACCAAAACCCTCGCAAAACTTTTTGAATGACCTACTGTTGAATTGAGTGCCTTTGTTGGAGACAATGGCCCAAAGTATGTCAAACTTGGTGATGATACTTTTCCACACAAACTTCTTGGTTTTGGTGCCTCGTATTAGGCTCAGAGGTTTGGCCTCAATCCATTTTATGGAGTAATATGTGGCCACCAAAAGAAACTTCTTGTTTATCGGGGCTTTAGGTAGAGGCCCAGCAATTTACATCCCCTACTATGTGGATGGCCACAAACTGATGAGGGGATTTAGGTCCCAACCAACTGCCGAATAATGGGAGCATGTTCTTGGCACTTGGCACATTTCTGCACATATATTTTGGTGTCCTTCTGCGTGTAGGGCCACTAATATCCTTGAGAGATTGCACGGTGTGCTAGAGGCTGACCCCCATGTATGACTTTCATATAATCCCTCGTGGATTTCTTATAGCAATGGCTGGATCTTGTCCTCAGGGAGGCATATCTAGTAGGGTCTTGAAAATGATTTCTGATACAACTTTCAGTCTGGTGAAACCAAAAACCTCAGTCCTTTGAGCCTAAACTTTTGGTTTTATTTGTTGCATTTGAGAAACTCTCCAGTTTCTAGGTATTTAAATAGTGCATCCATCTAGATAGACTCGACCTCTCCCGGTAGGACGGGAGGGACGTCGGCACTGGGCTAGTTGAGCAACTAGAGTGTGACATGTACTCCTGATTAGCACAAAATATTGCACATCATGTATACATTTATACCCCTTTTATACTTGCATTTGTGATGAAAATGTAAGAAAATTTGATTAAACAAGCAATTCATGATGTTGTGTGATTGTAGGTAAAAAGTTGGAAATGGCTTGAGTTAAGCCCCAATCATAATACTCAAAGTTAATGGAGATGGTATGGCTTAATGGGAAGCTTGGAAGGTGAAGAAATCGAGAAAAAAGAAAAACTGGGAAGAACCTTCTGGAAGGTTTTGCACACTAGAGTTTGTTCTTTTGCAAACCTTCCAGAAGGTTTTGCACACTGGAGTTTGTTCTACTGCAAACCTTCCAGAAGGTTTTGTTGAAAAATGTCAGATTCTCAAGCTTTGCTACTTGGGGGGTCCCACCATTGCTTTTTCCACACATCCTTGACATGTTACACATCCCAGCATGCCTCTCTTCACCTAGGGTTAGAGTTTGGAGGCCAATGCATTTATGAGGAAGAGAGAAAAGGAGGAAGCCTAGGGGGTTGCAGGCTAGGCTTGTCCTAACTTGTCCAAGCCATCAACTCACCTCCCATTGATGGGAGGCTTGCACACACAAGTGATACGAGCTTCATGGACGAAAATGCAGGAGAGTTACACTATTTTAGACCATTATTCAACATTTTAGAGAGAGAACCTCGAGAAAGAAGACATAGTTTAAAGAGAGAAAGTTTAGATTTTTGCATTTTCTTACCCATTTCACTTGTAGTAAGCTGTAAGACTCTTGCAATCTTCATTTAATGCACTTTAGTGTCATTTATTTCAAGTTTATTGCAAGTTTAGTCATGTATCTTTGAATCTACCATTGTTACATTTATGCTTTTTTTCTCAAGCTTTCCAAATGGGTTTTAAATGCACTTATCTTTGTAGTTAACTTTTCTTTACATATATAAGTTTTAATCTCCATTTCATTACCATGTCTCTTTCTATATTATATGTCTTTATCAACCCTCCTCTATTCTCCCTCGTAGTGTAAAGTATTTGGTTTGACTATGTTGAGTGCGGACGTGGTTGTGAGCTCTTGACACACCATAGACTTGTCATGGGGTATGCTTGAGCCTACACCTCCATTTGTCTCTCACTTCCTACGAATTAATCAAACATCTAGGTGCCATTGGAAGAATGTTTTGAGTTGATTTGACATTCCCATTGGAATGACCTCTTCGGATTAGCCAACCTTGTTTCCATTGTATTTTTAGCAAAGACTCCACTCATTAAAACACAAACTCACAAGATTTTATACTTTTTCATTTTCACAAAATTACCTTCACACAATTCAACCTTCCTTTCCTGAGGAGACGACCTTGGAATACTTAATTCCAAGTAAAACATAACACTTAAAAGTCTATCTTCGTTTGGAGAGCACTGTTGCACACACACAGAGATTTTCATCCACACACGCATTTTTCCATTTCTAGCATCAAACTCGAGGGAGAGTGACACTCACCTACACACATAAGCCATATACACTTAGTTCGGGTTAGTGTTTGGAGATTAGGGTGAACACGATCAAGCATTTTTGGAGAGTTGCCGAGGAAGGCAAAGCGTTGAATTAGAAGGTGATTTTTATCACGGGTCAAGGTACATTGCTCCTTGTACATATTTTTTTGTTTAATTTTCCTTTCATTTGTAGTTATTGTTTTTGCATGTGGGGACAGAACGACCAAAATAGATTGGTTAGACAACCCCTAGGACCCAACATGAATTTAGACCAAGACCCACCAGAGGATGTTGGTGATAATTTTGAGGATGTTGGTGCTAATGTCCCAAGAGGTGGGGGGAGTGAAAGACCCTAGAATGCATTTTCCCCCTCCTATGAATGAAGGAAACAATATCCCAATTGATCCTCCGGTGAGGTCAGTGCGAGATTGTCTCCAACCCACTCGTAGCACCACTTCCTCATGCATTCTTTTACTGGTCCAAACTCACGTCTTCCTAGTTAAACCAGGAATGTTACAACTACTTCCTTAATTCTAGGAATTGAAAGGGAGAATCCTTATTTGCACATTAAGGAGTTTGAGGAAATAGTTGTAATCTTCCTCACTAATCATGCCATGGAAGACATAGCTCGCATGAAATTGTTCCCCTTTTTCCTTAAAGACAAAGCCAAAACATGGTTGAATTCCTTGAAACCTCGATCAATAAGCTCTTGGGCACAAATGTTTTATGAGTTTTTGAACAAATTTTTTCCAGTGCCCAAGACCACTGCTCTTAAAAAGCAAATCCAAAATTTTTTGGAAAAGCCCAATGAGCAATTTTATCAATGTTGGGATCGCTACAAGGAATTGCTACAATCCATTCCACATAATGGTTTTGAACCATGACAATTGGTGAGTTTCTTCTATGAAGGGATTACACCTTGCCATCAATAGTTCATAGACATGATGTGTAATGGGGAGTTTTTAAACAATGATCCCAATGAGGCCCTAGAGTACTTCAATATATTGCCACAAAATGCATAATCTTGGGATATTATGGATCCCACCGATGTACCGAGGTATTCTCTAGGTAGTAATAAACCAAGTGGGGGAGGGATGTATGATTTAAGAGATCAGGAAGACTTGCTTTCCAAAATCACCAAATTGTCTCAGAAAATGGAGAGTCTAGAGGTCAATAGGAGACACAAGGTGTACAACATTTCAAAGACCGAGGAGTTTTGCTCTATTTGTGAGAGTGTTGAGCATTCCATCTCGGAATGCCCCAACATTCTAGCACTTAAAGAGGTGTACCATGAGCAAGTCAATGTCTTCAATCAAAGTAGACAATCATTCTCCTCACACTCTAGTACATACAATCTGGGTTGGAATAATCACCCAAACTTCAATTGGACGAATGAGAATCCCACGCCTCACGGGTCTAGTTCATATTTA